TTATCCTAGGAAGGATAGTACCAACTGGGAAGGGGTACAAGGAAGTCTTTTGTGGCACTGGATTTGTTCTAGATTTTGATGTGGGTACTGGTTACATGGGTGAATTAAAATGTAAAAATCTGATATGTACATTTAAAGTTTTCGCATTTTACTGTGTATGTTATACCTCAATTTAAAAAACAAAAACAAAAAAACACCTGGGCAAAACAAAAAAAGATTTACTATAGATAATGCGCTGACAGAAAGCCCACTTAAGAAGCCTCTGAAATAATTCAAGTAAGAAATGAGTGGCAAAAAGATGTGAAGAAAATAGATCAGAGAGATATTCAGGTACCAGGTTTGGTGCCCTACTGAAAAATACAGCTGAGGGGAAAGGATGAAAAGATAAATCTCTCAAGTATCTGGGTGGAAAGTAGTATTATTAACCAAGATAGGGAATGCAAGAGGCAATAAGTTCAGTTTTAGACATGTAGGGTGTAGACATTTAACTGGAGATATTCAGGGCAGTTAGATATATGAATCTGGAACTCAGATGCAACCTGAGCAGGACATATAAATTTAGAAAAGAGAAGCCAACAGATGATTAAAATTAGGAGAGGATGAGACTGGGAGAAAGTATAAAAGAGAAGACAGCCAAGGACAGAAACCTAATATAGAGCGCAAACACAGGAAGTGTAGCAAGCACAAAAGACTGAAGGAAGAGTTGAGAGAGGTGGGGAGTTACTAACAGTGCCAAATAGGGCAGAGAGGTTAAGTAAGTTAAGGACAAAAAATGCGTACCAGCTTTGACAATCAGATCATTATTGCCTTTTGCTATAGTTTTTGTCAAAAGCAAACATTTTTAAAAGGTCTTAAATGACCTACAAAAGAGTTAAAATACACAATCTGTACCACGCTGTACCTTCATTTCCACATCAATTTCAAACTAGTTCATGTAAGCAATCTGCAAAAAACAAATTATTAATAGTCATCAGTGGAAGATTACTATTAAGACTTTAAAATTGTAAAAGAAAAATATAATCTATCCCAAGGATAGAATATACATAATTGCTTATTGTTTCCTATATATAATGTATATATAATAAACACTATTCTGTATAAAAAGTGAGTGGCTTTTCTGTACGTGAAATTTTTTATAATCAAATATTGGAAAAAAAAACTGGCCAGCATGAAAAATAAATATATGCATTAAAAAGAGCATTATTAATTGAGCACCTAGAGATTAATCTTCCTCCAGTGAGTTTCTCGAAGCAATCAAGAATGGAGCCTCTTCAGTAAGAACAAGAAGCTAAGAACGAGCCAGGAAGACTTCTCCAGGGAACAAATGGGTGTCATATAAAACTATATTAGAAAAAAAAAAAAAAACTATATTAGGAAAATAGGAAAATAGGAGAATGCAATGGATTAAAGATGGCCACATGTTCTTTTCTACTCCTCCCCTCAAGAGGCTGAGTCTATTTCCCTTCCCTCCTTATCTCTGGGCTGGTGTCACGACTTGCTTTGACTAAAAGAAATAGGTGGGAGCGTTTTGTACCACTGGCACATTTTCACTCTCTTGGGAGTCAGCCACCATGCTATAAAAAAGTTTGGGCTGGAGACCACTTGGAGAGAAAGAAGCCAAGTAAGGGAAGATAGAAATGCCCTAGACTTCCAGCCTGATAAGGCCCCAGCCCTGTGGGTATGGCCATCTTGGACCTTCCAACCCTCACTAGCCATCAGCTGAATGCAGCCACATGAAGGATCTCAAGTGAGACCAGCAGTAGACTCACCCAGCTAACCCACAGAATCATGAGAAATATTATTATAAATATTTATCGTTTTAAACCACAAACTTTTGGAGTGGTTTCCTACATAAAAATAGATAACTAAAACATTGAACATAATTACCCTGTGATTTTTTTTTAAAGCATTTCCTACAATGTTTTCCTCAACAACAGTACATAGCTTTGTGGTTGGACTCTGGCAAATTGGGAAAAGGCAAGCTGTAGGAACAACCAAAGGACATTCCCGGAAGTATCAACTAAGCAAGACAAATACTCTCCTGAGGCAGTTGCTGAGTAATGGAACAGAGTATACAGTTGCCCCCCAATATTCATTCTTTCCTCCTTTCATAGTAACAGAATTTTTAACTGAACATACGTCCATCAAAATAAAGACTACATATCCTAGCCTTCCTTGAAAGTAAATTCTTATGACTATATCTGGACAAAGGAATGTTACCAGAAGTATGGTGTGGCACCATACAGGAAAAAAAAAATCCCTCTTAGACTGCAGGGCAAGTTGTTTGGTCCTTTCACCCCTCAGATAACCAGTTGTCTGGAATTCACAACACTTTGGTCCATGAGAATGAAAGGCCATTCCCTTGGGATTGCTGAAGCATGAGGTGCAAGGAGCTGGGGTTTCTAAGTTCATAAAGCAAGGTCAATACACCAATCTATGACTGCAAAATTTACACTTTTACATAAAAAAGAAACTTCTGGGCTTCCCTGGTGGCGCAGTGGTTGAGAGTCCGCCGGCTCGTGCCCGGGTCCGGGAAGATCCCACATGCTGCGGAGCGGCTGGGCCCGTGAGCCATGGCCGCTGAGACTGCGCGTCCAGAGCCTGTGCTCCGCAACGGGAGAGGCCACAACAGTGAGAGGCCCGCGTACCGCCAAAAAAAAAAAAAAAGTGGCCATCAAAACGTGCCTCCTTATCATTAAACCTACACATGGCATCAAGGGCACAAAAACTATCCATTCACAGATAATTACTGAGTGCCTACCTACTAAGTTCCTAACACCAGTCTAGGTACTAGAAATACAACAATAAACAAGAACAAGACAATCCTTGCCTTTACGGAATTTAAATTCTAATGAGAAGGGGGCAGGGATGTTAAACATTGATTAAATTAGATAATACACATAAAGTGCTCAGAATAGTGATAGGCATACACTAAATAAGTGTTCAAATAAATATCAACTATTGTTAGCTATAAATATCCCTCTATGTTTCTACGTAATCAGCAAACCTTCTTATTCATCCAGTTCTCTAAAAACCAAGAGATTCTTTAGATGGTTTCAGCACTAAATGTCCTTATTTTTGATCAGCAGGCCATCCTTCAGAGAACTGTCCCCTCTCCCCAGTCCATTTCTTGTGGGCCTATCCAGAGGTAGACATGCCCAGTAAGATTTCCTTACACAGGAATCTATATCACTGGAGAGGCAGCAGGTGATGAGAAACACCCAGAAGTTCAGTTCATATGGCTGAGCTCCACGTGGATCCGTCTCTGCCAGCACTACCCAGGCTCCTGTCCTTCCTGAGGCCTGGCTGTTCAGCTTGTCCTTCAATGCTTTCCTTCCAATAAGTCTCTTTTTCTTGCTTAAAACAGCAAGAATTTGTGTTGCTTACGAAGAACCCTACCTGATACAGTTAGGCAAAGTAAGATCATTCTAAAAAAAAGAGTGTTCATAACCAAACACAATTGCCAAAACTCATTGAACTGCACATTATTAAAATGAGTGAATTTTACTGTTTATAAAGTATATGTCAATAAAACTGGGGGAAAGTGGGAGGAGTATTTAATTTAAAAGCATAAATAGCACATTTATACTGGATAATAAAATATCCTAGGTTATTTTCCTATATATTGACTTTATTATGCTCTATGCTAAAAAACTCATACAGGAAACATTTTTTAAGATGGCCCATTTTAAATCAGTCCCATGTAAAGTCAAGCTGCATTGACTGCAATGATTCTAGAATGAGAGAAGTATGTTAATATCTGAAAACTATGTCTTGCTTACTAATGCAATAAAGTTCACAACATACATAACGATCATATCTTGCTTTCAAGTTTATTGACAGCACCCTACAGTACTTTGCTTAATTATTTGTTTTGCTTAGATTCCCACTCTCTATTTAGTCTTACTTTGCAAGCAGCCTATATCACAGCAGGAAACCCCCTCAAAATGCAAACCTCTCCAGCTCCAGGCTGAAATTAGGACAGCCCCACTTGTCATGTTTTACATTACAAGAATTTCAGAACTGCCTTACTTGGTCACACCATGCTCCATTCACTAAGCAATCTCTATGACAGGGGCTCCTAGGAACACGTGAAAGAATATAGTTGTCCTACCCGCCACCAATCTAAAAGCCTAAAGCACATTCCAAAATACTTTCCGTCCTCTTAATAAATCCATATTGGATCTGTTACTCCTTAGTACACCCTAATCACTTCTGAGACATTTTACATTTTAAGGTTAGTAAAAGGTATTAAAATAGAAGGGCAAATAATGAAAAAAGTAGACTTTGAACAACCAAGTTGCATGTGTACATATTTATATAATAAACCCCACAAATATTTCCTAATTAGTCTTATGTGCAGTAATAATTCACTTTAATTTTAAACATTACAAAACTCAAAATTTTATTCTCACAACTTTCAGATTTAGCCACTTTATAAGATACCCTTTTAGCACACAACTTCCAATATTAAGTTCAAACTTGTCACCTTCTTTTCTAGTAAAAATTCAGCCATCTGATCCCTGATCTCCCAAAAATCTAATCAAATTTATAATGGGGCTTTTAAAACTATTTCCTAAAGTATCCTACTGCATGGCCTCTGGTAGCCAGCCTAAGTACCCTACGGAGCCAGCCAGCATGAAAATCTAATTTAAACTACTCTAATTCCTCATAAATTCAATACTGTGTATCTCCCAACAGTGTTTCTGGCAAACCAGAGCTGATCTGGTTCAACTTGATGTTTAAACTCCCACTGCTTCTTCCTCTGAGTTTAGCAAAACAAACAATATAAGTAACTCAAGTTTCAACCCAGTATCTGTGTAGAAAAGCAAAAATAAGATAAGTGTAAATGAAAACCTTGTTTTGCAACATATTAATAGTCCAGCTTCCTAGCCTCTTTTCTTCAATTTAAATTTTTATTACCTCATGAGTTCCCATTTCTAAAACAAGACCCAAAGTATTTACAAAACGAAAATGAGAAAAGCCCAACATTCACCTACCCAACATTTGGCAACCCAACAACACCAATTTTCAAGGAAGTTCCAAATCTTCCAATGATTGGGGGTGGTTTAATTCCATCACCTCCCTTTTTGGGGGGCATCTGAAATGTCAAAACAAACATACATATGAACAAAACTTTTTACTGTCCCCATTGACCAAAAACACATTTCATCACACACAATATATTATTGAATAATAGATTAAGAATACAGCATACTGTATATATCAATCTAAAACTGACACACTTTATTTTTCAACAAAAATGAAAACAAAAAAGTTCTGTTAACAGATCTGATTCTGATAGTTGTCAAAGCAGTCACTCCTGAGAAGTCCTGGAAAACTGATCTAAAAATATGTGGCACCAGAAATCAAAAATAAAATTTAGCTGCCAATCTTACATCCAGACTGTTCACAAAACATTTTCTTAACCTGACATGTGGTTATATGAATGAAAGCATTTGGAAGCAGGAGCACAGGTAAGAGTGTCAAAGAAAATCCATTCTAGAACCACTAGCAACCGAGTCACCTCCCACCAAACCATTCCCTCAATCTGGAACCTGTTCTTTCCCATTTCGCCCACAAGCACCATTTTTCGCATGAATGAACACACGCCGGTATCAAGGTCTTTCCAACAAGTCTCTTTCACCTTTGGCACTGTAGTTACGACTCATCAGTCCTCATAAGCAACCTCCTGAATCCACCCTTTGGTTACTTCTAGTCGTAAATGGATCTACTAAGCCTTTTTATTTACAGGTCGAAACTTTCTCGGTCCCTGACAATCTGGCTCTAAGTTTCTCCGGGCAAAATTGAGCCGACTGCAAACTGAACTCATGAGGACTGCTAACCTCACGTTTTATAAGCTGGGAACTAACACTATCCCTGTCTTCTGGCTCCAATTGAACCTCCCGGGGCCACGCTGACGCCCTGCTCATGAAGTGATAGCCTCTGATCCCTGACCCCGAGGGCCAGGAATCTCCCTTCTCAGGGTCGTAACTCACAGCTGTTCCCAGCCAAACCCCAGGTCTCCGAAGCACAGCTGCACGAGCAGAGACTTTCCAGTCCTCTGGCCTCCTACCAAGGAGTGGCTGGCCGCCCAGCCAAAGCGAGGTCCCACCCAACATCTTCCCCCTCTGGACTGGGCCACTGGCCGTCCCCGCCTCCGGAGAAGGCTTTCCCCATAGCGTGCCGGGTGAGGCGTGGGCCGCTCCCGGGACACGCGGCCTAGTCCGAGAGCGCCCCATTCATCCACACGCTCCACGCCGCCCTCCGCCCAGGCCGGCCACCCGGCCCTGGCGGGACGCCGGCCTCAGAGCAATGGGCCAGAGTCAAAGACGCGGCGGGCGTCGCGACCACAGGCTCCCTGAGGACCTCACCGTGCTCAGGGCGGACGATGACACAGGCTCCCAGCGGCAGCGGGAAACGGGTCCTACCGGCAGCCGGAGGCCGGGAGGAAGGAGGAGAAAGCGCAGGCCCGGCCCCTCCGCCGAGCGGAATGCACGTCGGCGGCAGCGGCGGCGGCGGCGGCTGCGGCGGCGGCAGCGGAACAGGCGGGCCGGGCGCCGGGCTGCACCTGCGCGCAAGCCGCGCGCCCCACCCCGCTCCGCCCCGCGCTCCCCCCATCCCGTCCCGCCCATTGGTTTGGCCGCGGGAGGCGGGAGAGGGTGGGAGGAGTCGCGCGGCGCCCGAGCTGGCGGGAGCTGGAAAACCATCCTTGCAGGCCTGAGCCGGTCACGCAGGAGCGCGCGTCTTCCGCCATCCCTACACGTGGGGCTTCTCGGCCCCGGATCTCCGCTTCCTTACCGGTGCGCGCCCCGTGTTTCTCGCACACGCTCGCTTGCCGCCTTCCAGCCCCACACTTCACCCGCCGCTTCACCTCGAAGCACCCTCGGCCTGACCGCCCGCGCGGAGGCGGGTCGCCTGAGGTCTGGCGATCAGCCGCGCCAGCCCCGCTTGGCCGCCAGCTGAGTCCTCGGGGACCACGGCCCCAGCTCGCCTCCTTTTCCTATAACGCTCTTCAGTCAATCCAGATGGTGAGAAGCTGTTAAACTTTCTTAACGGAAAAAGGGGTTAAGGGTATGATCTAAGGAGTCCTTTGTCGCCTTATTTTTCAGGCGTATTACAGGCACTGGATCCCAGAATGCGTTTAACACAGCCAGTTTCCACACACATCCCGCTCCTTTTCCTCTGGAAGGTTAAGAGCAGAAGCCTTTGGAATTTGGGAAACGTTGGTTCCAATCTGGATTCCACTACCCATTAGCCGTTTGACCCTGACCAAAATAATCTCTCTGGACTTCAGTTTCCTCTGGGATAAAATGAGGCTACTGAGACCCACCTTAAGAGGTTATTGTGAGGATGAGGATAAATGAGATAATGTGTGTAAACCTTGTAGTAACAGTACCCAACACAGATAGGAAAGGCTCATAAATAGTAATAAAGGCTATTGTTAATATTAGGGTTTCATCTCATCTCACCCCTACCTGACTACACCATGAGCTCCATCTGTAGAAGGAATTCATTCATTTAGGTCCTGGCCTTCAGTCAGCATTCAAGTATTTGTTGCAGTGAATGCAATACTTGTCCAAAAATTGTGACACTTTTTTTAGGTGCTTCTTTCAAAGAGACTAGTTTCTAATAAAGGAAAAGTTCTGAGTTGGCTGGTATGGGTATGCCCATTTTACAGATGTGGGAACAAGATCAGAAAGGTTATATAATTTGGATAGAGTCACACAACTAACTGGCAAATGGCAGAAGCCAAATTTCAAGCCCCAATCAAACGGAAAAATCTGTTCCCTTTCAGCCAAAATTCTAATAGGGACTTTTTATAAGCAGCAACGGAGCCATTATTGATAATAAAATTGCATAACATTTTCCTCTTTCCTATGAGAGTGATCTACTGAGATAAGTTAAAAAGCTTTTTCTATAAGTTTGGAAATTCTCAAGGACATGGGCAACTTGATTTGATTTTGGTTTTGTATTATTTTTTCATTATGTCATTGATAAATATGCACCGTTTAAATTCTCCCAATCTAGCTCCCTTGTCACCAATACCTTGTATTTATAAAAATGGGTGTGAGTACACAGTAGGTACGAAACAGAAGGAAGCTAAATAGCCCACGTTTTGTACCCAGCCTCAGTATAAACGGTTATGAATAGTCCTAACAAAGTAATTCCTAAATTGTTTACTGTTCAGTAGTGAAGTTCTATAGTTGGCTTTCACACTGCTGCTTGTGAAAAGAGAGGAACCATTACCTGAGAAGCTCAAGAATCCCAGAGAGCCCAATCTGCCCAGCAACCAGCCACTCCAATAGTAATTGAAAATGTTCCCCAGTCTTGGAGAAGTAGAATTATCTTCAAGTTATCACTGTCTTTTAGCCAGATCTTGCTCTTTCTTCAATCTCAATATCTCTGCGATCTACCTGTTCCCTTCAATTCACACTATCAAGTCCTTGAGTCAGTTACCTGTTTCTCTATTTGCAGCTACGTCTTTTACTTGCACTTTTCACCACCTTTAAAGTGCTTTGACAAAGCAGGTCACACAGATGTCAGTGAGCTAGGAAGTTTCAGGAGTGGCCAATAGCTGCTGCTAACAGTTGCCCAATAATAAGACTCCATTTCCAACTCACTGGGGGAAATGCCTCACACTCACACTCACTGGGGGTCAATTCATATTCATGAGAAAGAGGATCTGATTGGCCTGGTTTAGGTAAAGTTCTACCAAGGGTCCAGTCAGCCTTGGTCAGGTGGGTAGAGGTCACATAGTAGAAACATCTCTGTGCATGATCTCCCTCTGCTAATGAAGCAGGCATGTCTCAGAGAAAACCCTAGTAGGTGTCTTTTATTCTACATGATAAATGAAGATTCAGTGAGACAGACAGGATATTAAGAGTTAACACTAATGCCAAGCCTAAGAAAATGACTTTGAACATAGGAAAGCTTGTCCTTGAGCCTTTTGCACAAAGGGAAGTCTATTTAGTATCTGTTGGGCTCAGTGATTAAGTGAAGCCTAGAGGAAAGAATCAGAAGTGGTCTAGAATGGAAATTTTTTTTTTTCTTTTTTTGGCTGTGTTGGGTCTTCGTTGTGGGCTTCTCTCTAGTCGTGGCGCACAGGCTCAGTAGTTGTGGCGCGGGGTTTAGTTGCCCCACGGCATGTGGGATCTTAGCTCCCCGACCAGGGATTGAACCTGTGTCCCCTGCATTGGAAGGCGGATTCTTAACCACTGGACTACCAGGGAAATCCCTAGAATGGAAATTGAGCAAAAGATCTCTGTCAGAGGAAGGATGAGAATAGGCCATCAGATCAGCTCAACATAAGGATGCTGCCAAGGAAATATCAATGGGATGAAAATAAGTAGAGCTCATATTTTTTGTTCTTTGTTATTATTAGCTTTCAGAATTTTTCTTACCTTACTAGGGTAAGAAATGACCAGGGATCAAGTAAGTTGACCAAAGGTCACAAAGGATCTAGGGAGTGGTTTGGAGTCAGTAATTTACACAGACTAGCTCAGTTGGAAATCCAGAGATTTAATGATCTTGTAGAGAAAGCTAGGGGACAGGAGACAGGAAGACTTTAGAGAGAGTCTAAGGAGGAAAGGAGGAAAATGGAGTAGTGACACATTCATCATGGGCTGGCAAGGCTGGACTACACGTATTGGTCAACTTCATCCACATCTGTTACAGGCATAACAGATAACAAAATAATAGTAATAACTACACTAAGAGGGAAATTGAGTCCTGAGAATAACTTTACAGGGGAAGGGAACAGCTTGCAAAAAAAATAAGTACCCTGGGGGTGGGGAGGGAGTTGGGGACATGTTGGTCAGAGGGTACAAACTTGGAGTTAGAAGATAAATAAGTTCTGGGGATCTAATGCACAGCATTGTCATTATAGTTAACAATACTGTGTTACATACATATACTTGAAAGTTGCTAAAAGACTAGATTTTAAATGTTCTTATCACAAAAAACAATGACAATTGTGTGATGGAGGTGCAGTGAAGAACAAGATAAACATGGTCATTGCCCTCAAGGAGCTTGCAATCTAACAGGGCAGGCAAACAAGTAATTACACAAATAACTATCTAAGAACTTGGTAAAAATCTATAGAATACCTAAGTACTTTGATTACAGTTTCACGATTTAAAATACACCACCACCTTGATTTTCACTTACTTGCAGGACTTCTGATATTATGTTCCAGGCAGTGCTTAATCCTTGCCTTTCCCTGTTCTATTACCAGCAGTACCCAGACCCTGTCAGGCACCAGCAAAGAAACAGATTTTAAATTTTCATTCTTCCACTTGACAGAACATTATTTTGAATCTTTGAAATTTGACCATAAGCTACCTGTGAAGTAAAACATGTTTAATCATCTGCTCTGTATTCTGGAATTGCTCATAGTGTTTGAAAGCATGCTGATTGATTAAAGAGTCCAGTTATCGCAGAAAGTACTGGAGTTTTGTTATCTAATCTCTATCGTAATTCATGAATAAAGATTTAGGAAGTCTTAAAAGAAAATTTTACATGCTGTTTTCTCAGAGGCAACATAAAAGGCATATGCTAACCTAAAAGAGCAAATATATTATTAATGTATTAGCCAGGATGCTTTTAGCTGCAAGTAATAGCAATTCTGATTCAATGGAAATTTGTCCTATGCAACAGAAAGTCCAGAGAGGAAGAACTTCAGGATTGATAGATTCTGTAGCTCAACACTATTTTCAGGGATCCTGGTTCTTTCTGTATCACAGCTCTGTCTTCTCTGGGCATCCTCTGGATTCATCTTCAGGCTAACAGCAAAAAGACTGCTGTGGCAGTTCTAGGCAACACATCCTGAAATGACAATATTCAGAGGGGGTAAGGGAAAGAAACCATCTCTTCCTGTAACTCTTTCTTAGAAAAAAGGAAATATGCCCTAGAAACCCTCTAGCAGACTTCTTCTTCCACTGGGCAAAGTAGGGTCTCATGCCTGTATTTGAACCGAACACTGGCAGGGGAAATGGGGTTAGCCTGAGACCATTCAGCCCAACCTTGGGACTGGAGTAGAGCTCAGCTTCCTCTGAGGCATCTGACTGTGAGGGCTATGGATAGGTCTCTGAGCAAAATCAGGGTTGTATAAGAAAAGCGCACCTATGTCCACTTACACTTCCTGAACCATTTTTTCAAGATAACAGCTTGAGTACAGAATGATAATTCTGAAAGAAATCAGTGGCATTGGTGGTCATCTGATTGAATGTACATAATTGTCATAAATGTTGATACACCTAGTTCACTGAGAAAACACTGAAGAAAATTGCTCCTCTTCTGATAACACTTAATGGTGTTATATAATGAGAGTATGTGAAAATAATATTTTTATTAACCTTCACAAGGATACTTAAAATTCTAGTCATGAGAAGTGAAGATTACCAAAATGTATCACAAGAGTCCCGTCAATTGAACTGGAAACTGGGGAATCTTGTCCATAGGCCTAGGTCACCAAACTTATGGCCTCTCAGATTAGCACCAGCTCAGGATAATATTTCACCTTCATTACATTGTTGAACCTGTGTGGTTCATTTCAGGGAATATTTGTACTAGTCAGGATAGGCTAAATTATAATACAATAACAGACAACTCCAAAATGTCAGAGGGGTTACAGAATAAAATAGCTCTCTTACAGGAAGTCCCTTGGAGCTCTGCTAGCTGTCCATGAGTTGGCTTGGCACTTGCAGGCTGCACTGGTCTCTAAATCCTTCTATATCAAAGTATTTCCCCCCACGAAGTGACGTTTCATTGGCCAAGTGAAGTTACATGGCCACATCAAACTTCAAGGGGCAGGCGATCTGTACTTGTACCCAGCAGTAGAGGAGAATTAGTTATTAATAAATAGTGATAATGCCTGACACAATATTCATAATAGATTCACAAATAGATTCTATGAAGCACATTCTTTCTAAATCGATTTGCTATTGTCAGTATATGATATACTGCAATCAAGGCTGCCCTTCTTTCTAAAATGATTCTTATAAAGAAGTCATGACTAATGTTACTTTGGTGGTGCCTACTCATCCCATGGCCCCTTCCTTCTAAGAAAAATCCATCCCCCTCACCCAACTGAGGGGGCAGGCCTAGGCCTTCCTATTTATAGCACATGAATTTTAGCCTCAACAGATTGTTCTAGGGTTGGGTGAAAGCCCAATCCAAGCTGGGCTATCAAGATTCTCTTTCTTTTGAGAAGCTGGACTTAGGACATAGCAATAAACACTACTGACAGCTTAACGGGAACATAGAATGGGACATAGGCTATGTCACACACTTTCTTGACAATATAGACAAAGCTCTTCAAAAGAAAGAAAAAAACAGGCAGGCAGGAAAAAAGCGTAGGTAATCAATCACCCACATGGTCCTTTAACCACAAGTTCTGACTTTCAAGTTACAGTCTAGTCCTCCTAAAACTCTGTATACTTTCTGACTTTGGACTCTGTGCGAAAGCGCTGTGTTCTACCAAGACTTCCATCTTCTGTTTAAATTGGTTTGCAATGGGTTTCTATTTCTTACAGCCAAACAACAGTTGCAATAGCCAAAGCAAAGAATAACTTATACTGTTCTGAAAATGATTAATGTACGTTAGGGGCCCATTGGTCCAATGTTCCTCTTACCTGTAGTTTTAAATTATAGGACATTATTTCCCGGAGTGTATTCTCTGCAACAGTGATCCTCCACACTGCTCTGTGGAACAACAGATCTAGGATCAGATAAGTTTAGGAAGTGCTGCATCCTGCATACCCCCTTAGGAGCCTGTAATATACATTAGTATATTTAAGGGTCTGAGAAATTCTGCAATAAAGAGACCTGTTAAATCTCCTTAACCCAGCATTACCAAATGGGTACATGCATTTTCATATAATACATATTAAAACCTCTTGGAGCATGTGCTCTGAGGAGATCAACTCTTTGAAAGTTGCTATTAAGTAGTGATTTAGGAGGAGTACTTTTTGCTGCAGCAGAAATCTGTTGAACAGTGCTCTCTTCCCTTGCTTTTTTAACAGCTACCTAATGACAAAAATGATTATTTAACAAGGAAAAAAAAAAAGTGAGTACCAACCTAAGGAAAGCATTGCTCCCACCAGATGTCTCACTACCAAGATGAAGTTTAGAATTAATAGTCTTGTGCTTCATTTTACTCTGAATGAAAAAATGCCTTTTCACAAGGAGGGAAAGATCTCCAAAGAGTGGGATGAAACATGTAGGTTTTCTTGAGTGACCTTGGAAAATTACTGAGGAATCTCCTTTTAGAAGCTATCTTTGGGATATCCTGTCTGACAGCTGATAGGAGAACCCGTGACTAGGACAGCCACTGTTTTATATTACCTCTGTGCCTTATACAAATTAACAGGACTTAAAAGACTGCTTAACACTTTGCCTTCCTGGCCAACTGAAGCAATAACAGCTCATGTTGGTGCTCCTTTAAAGTAGAGCCGGATTACACACAATGATCTAAGAATCAAGAGAGGAAGTAGCACTGTACTCACAGTCATCTTCAAGATCAAATGATTTTTTTTCTGCTTTCATTTGTCCTAAGAGGTTTTTAGGTAGAGAATGAAGATAGTTATTAAACCCTTATTGTGTGCCAGATACTGTCCTAGCCACTTTATATCTGGGACCTAATTTACTAACTCTATAGGTAAGTGTTACTTTTGTAGCTAAAGACACCAAATCCATAAAAGTTTAGGCAATTTTATTACAGTCTCTTTGTTAGGCAATAACCTAACTATTAGGCAAGAAAAAAACCAATTCCATCTGATTCCAGATGCACTTTGTATTTAAACACGCTTGTCACACAACAGTCAAATGATGTCTTACATATAGTAAATGATGCAGTCTAACAATATAGATAAAGAAGAAAGGGGTGTGTATATGTGTGTTCATGTGCACCCATGTCTGTGTGTGCTTTTAACTGGAGCAAAAGATTAACTCAAATAGTTCATGTAAAAAAAATTGACCTCAAAGGAAACTTCTGGCTAGGATTTCTTTTTTTAATCATGAATATTTCAGTTCAGTAAATAGGACTATTAACATTACTGGAAGACATATTCAGCATATCTGTAGGCTTTGATATTCAAGGACAAACAAGAGCCTGAAACATTAAGGCTTCAGTGGTTATGACATGACCAGAATTATCTAAATTGATGCAGTGATTAAAATGTTCCATCAGGAAACAGTATATTCAGGAAATCCTGGATGAAATGCTGTGAAATCATTGGTGAACTATTAAATGATGCATATAAGTAGGAAGATGAAATCCCAGAACTGTGCTTCTTCCCATTTCATCTGTCTTTTAACTTCAGTTCTCATTACAGCTTGAAGAAAAGTATTTTTTTTTAATTTTGATATGGTCCAATTTACCTATTTTTTTCTTTTGCTGCTTCTGCAGCCTTTGTCTTTTTTTAATTAATTAATTTTTTACTTATTTTTGGCTGCATTGGGTCTTCGTTTCTGCGTGCGGGCTTTCTCTAGTTGCGGCCAGCGGGGGCTACTCTTCCTTGCGGTGCACAGGCTTCTCATTGCAGCGGCTTCTCTTGTTGCAGAGCACAGGCTCTAGGCACGCGGGCTTCAGTAGCTGTGGCACGCAGGCTCAGTAGTTGTGGTGCACGGGCTTAGTTGCCCTGAGGCATGTGGAATCTTCCCGGACCAGGGATTGAACCCATGTACCCTGCATTGGCAAGTGTATTCTTAACCACTGCGCCACCGGGGAAGTCTCTAGAACATAAGACTTTGAGTATATATTCTTAGAAATAGATATTCTAAGGACAAAAAGAAAGATAAATTTTAAATTTCATCTAGTAGTCTAATTAGTGAAAAATACTTGGATTACTCTGAAACTATTTTATGGACATTATAGAGCAAATAATTATGTTAATGTGTTGGGATCCAAAATGTATAAAATGCGCCCAGGATGCCTTCTACCTGAAAGCAAGGAAGTTATCAAAGACTGTTGGGATCATATCAAAATGACACAAAAGTCAATTTCCTCTAGGCTCCCTCTAGCCAAATACAGAACAATTTAAACATCCAAAAGAAAAATGATTGCAACAAATTGAAACACGTTGGATGTATAAAATCCATGCATTCATAATGATATGAAAAAGAGAAAGAAAGCTAATTAATTAATTAGCTAATTAATTACATAAATATACAAAAAACTACTGGTCACCATTACAAGTAGCTAGGGCATTGTATGCTCACTAGGGCTGCCATAACAAAATACTACAGACTAGGTGGCTTCAACAACAGAAAGTTTTTTTCTCACAATTCTGGGAGCTAGAAATCCAAGATCAAGGTGTCAGCAAGGTTGATTTCTTCTGAGGCCTCTCTTGGCTTGCAGAGGCCCACATTCTCCCAGTGTCTTCACATGGCCTTCCCTCTGTGTATATCTGTGTCTGAATTTCCTCTTCTTGTAAGGACACCAGTCTTGTTGTATTAGGGACTACCCTAATGACTACATTTTATCTTAATTGCCTTTTAAAGACATCTCCAAACACATACTGGGGCTTAGGACTTCAACATATGAATTTGAGGAACAACACAATTTAGTAACAACAGGCACTGAGTCCTTACTTTGAAAATTAAAAACTAAAGGAAAAGAACTTCTCTGGCAGTCCAGTGGTTAGGATTCCATGCTTCCACTGTAGGGGGTACAGGTTTGATCCCTGGTTGGGGAACTAGGATCCTGCATGCCGCACAGAGTGCGGCCAAAAAAAAAAATTTGTTTTTAATTAAAAAATTAAAAAATAAAGGAAAAGAATGTATCCTGCCCATCCTGTACAAAATACACTAAATCACCCTAATTGAGGAGGAAAACCCAGTTAATAAATTTAAACAGAGGGACTTCCCTGGTGGCACAGTGGTTAAGAATCCACCTGCCAATGCAAGGGACACAGGTTCGAGCCCTGGTCCAGGAAGATCCCACATGCCTTGGAGCAACTAAGCCCACGCGCCACAACTCCTGAGCCTGCGTGCCGCAACTACTGAAACCCATGTGCCTAGAGCCCATGCTCTGCAACAAGAGAAGCCACCACAATGAGAAGCCCGCACACCTCAACAAAGAGTAGACCCCGCTCGCCACAACTAGAGAAAACCTGCACGCAGCAATGAAGACCCAAAGCAGCCAAAAATTAATTAATTAATTTAAAAAATAAAAATAGATGTAAACAGAATGATTGAGTTAGAAAAACACTATTTTGTGGTATAGGCAGTGCTTATCAATGGATGATTAAAACTATTAAGGAGAAAGGTTGGTAGTTCACTTTACAATGATTAAGCTGTTACCACTTGAATCTACCAATCAATGTAGCATCACTAAAAGTAGAATAACCAAAAAAAAATTAAAATAAAAGTAGAACAACCAGATGTTATATGCCTCCTGATGTGATTCAACATAACTTATGTGGCATCACCTACGAGATATTCCTGCTAAAGAAGCTAAAACTGAATCTAATTCAACCTTTAGTACTGACTTCCAGTTTACAGGAAATACAGTGGGTGGGAGGACAAGTTGAATTACACTATGAAGGAACAGTTATCCAAATCCAGAAGGTAAGACATTCTACAGGGTAACTGACCTGATTTTGTCAACAAGTCAATGGCATGAGAAAATAAAGGGAAAGACGACTGTTCTAGATTAAAAGAGACTTAATCACAACAAAATGGAATGTGTTAACCTTGTTTTAATGCTGATTTGAACAAACCAACCATAAAAAGTGTTTTTGAGATAATCAGAAAAATGTGATCATTATCAATGAGGGATATTAATGAAATAGTGTTAACTTTTAGGTGTGATGATATTATAATATGTTTTTTTAAGTCCTTATTGTTTAGATATATACAGAAGTATTTAAGGGTGAAATGATAGAGAAACGTCAGACATTTGCTTTTAGAAATACAGAAGAGAAAGGAAAGAGGAAGGAAGGGAGGGAGTGATAAATGATAGATATGGCAAAATGTTGATAATTGTTGAAACTGCTAGGCCAAAAGTTCTCAAAAGTAGTCCCCAGACCAGCAGCGGTAGCATCATTTGAGAATCTGTTAGAAATGCTAATTTCTAAACTCTGAGGGTAGGGTCCAGCAATTTATAGTTTAACAAACCCTCCAGTTGATTCTGATGCAACTAAAGTTTGAGAACCACTGTGCTGGACAAAAGGAGGTCTGAGAATTTTAAGTGTTGAATATTTTTCAGTATGTTTGAAAACTGTCATTATAAAAAGAAAGTTAACAAAACACAAGCATTTGTGGTATATGCAAGAGTCTGAAGGAGAATAAATTGTAACTACCTGCAGGGGTTTGTCATAGCATAAATAACCCTAAGAAGTGAATTACAGGGCATGTGAATTATCTCTCAATAAAGCTGTTTGACAGAGAAAGTAAGTTAGTGTGTTTTTCTGTGGATCTCCTTGAAGGTGCCTTTCTAAGGCTTGTATTTTTTTGTTTTCCTAAGACAGGCTTCCCTTTCATTCTCTCCTTTAATAAGCATTTATTGAATCTAATGCTGTGCCAGGTACTCTGCTGAGGGATGGGAAGATAAAGATGGATAAAATGCAATTGCTTTCCTCAGTGCTTCCATAGCATAATGGGGGAAAGAGACAAAGGAATCACAGTGTAATAAGTGAGGGTTAAACTGGGGGTGAGTAAATGCGGTATGGCACCAAGACCGACAATGATGGAGGGCTTACTGGAGTAGGGGACACTTGTGCTGAACTGTAAAGGCTGAGTTGAGATTAATGAGATGGGGAGCAAGTCTCAGAGACATGCAAGAATACCACTCACTCACAAAGTCACAATAAAGAGCTGCCAGTGGCTAGGACAGAGCAAGGGGTTCATGGCGGCCGTGGACAGAGACAAGACCCTAAAGGAACCAGCCTGCCAGGCTTTTCACCACTGTTGTCTCCATCAGTATTTCTGTGAATGTACACAAAATGTAGTAAAATCCCTAGCAACTGGAAAATAATCCTAAGAGCCAGACTATGAAATTGTGAAAGTCTGGAGCAATCAAATAAAAGGAAAAATTTGGCCTAAAACCATTGCTCACATTTGTATAGAACTATACTGCTCAAAAGAATGCTAAGAGACTCCTTTGTATAGAATTGTTAGCTAAATATAACTACCTAATCCTTTGTGAATAAATTGAAATGAGCTATCTTGGGAAAGAATAGAAATGTCACTATTCTTTAACCACAGATTCCATCTTAGATATGGGGCTTTGAAGCAGGTATTTCAAGCTCTTTGAAGATTTTTTTAGTGTTATTGTTCTAATCCACATTATTTTTTTAAGTCAAAATCTCAGGAATGTTGTGCCTATCAAATATAACTATCTTCTGTTGCATTTTCTATATTAACTTTAAAGAAAGTGAAATGTAATGAATATATATATATATTTTTTTTTTTTTTTTTTTTTTTTTTGCGGTACGCGGGCCTCTCACCGTTGTGGCCTCTCTGCTGCAGAGCACAGGCTCCGGATGCGCAGGCTCAGCGGCCATGGCTCACGGGCCCAGCCGCTCCGCGGCATGTGGGATCTTCCCGGACCGGGACACAAACCCGTGTCCCCTGCATTGGCAGGCGGACTCTCAACCACTGCGCCACCAGGGAAGCCCTGAATAGATTTTTGACAGCATTAAACCAATCGAAGAATTCCATAAGTAACAAAATGAAAGATTTTTCCATAGAAATATAATTAAAATGTATTACCAATATAAGCAAGGAACATATCTCCCTGTTACTTGAATAATACATGCTAAAAGAGGAAATTAAGTTCAATAAAAGTCTATTAATTGAGACTGTGATAAAGCAAAGATTTGGCTTTCTGTGCATTAGCATGGTATATAAAATAAGAATTTTCTAGGACTTAATATAAACAAGGTTTCCAGAGTAATATTGTTTAAAATCACCAATCATAGTTTTCTCTATGTTAAACCTGAGGTTTGCCCATTAATTATAAAATATTGTTGAGTGTCACAGCATACTAAAAAGAATACAGGCTTTGGAGCCAGATAACCTAGACCTGAATTCTGGTACTACTGCTTACTAGCTATGTCATTTGGACCATCTTATTTGTCTCAGCCTCAGTTTCCTGATCCTACCACCATCTTCCTCACAAAGGTTTTATGAGGTCTAATGAAGATGGTGTGTACAGCAGCAACCAGGTTACCTGGCACAAGATGAAAGCATTCTTCAGATATTATTAGTTCCCTTCAACTATAGTCTCCTGTACAAACAAAACGTAGTGCCTTAACACAAATATTTAGTATTTCTCACATTTCTGTGGGTTATCTGGGTAGTTCTGCTTTGGGTGGAATTGCTAGGCTAGGCACTGGGATTGCTAGAAGATCCAAAATGGCCTCACTCATTTGGCTGACATTTGTTGCTAGTCAGACGGGGCTGTTGCTTAGGGCACCTCAGTCCTTCTCTACATGGCCTTCCTCTGTCACTCAGGCATCTCACAGCATGGCGGCTGGGTTCAAAGAGGGAGCATTTCAGTAGCAATAGGCAGTGGAAGCTGTCAGTTCTCTTAAGGTCTAGTTCCAGAAGACCTAGAATGTCACTTTGTCTATATCCTACTGGTCAAAGCTAGTCTAGATTCAAGGAAAGGGAAATACGCTCCATCTCTTAATGTGAAGAGTGGCAAGTATACTTGTAGGAGAAGTATTTGTGGGGGACAATCTTTGGAAACTAGCTACTTTAGTCTACCCTCTGGCCACAACAATTCACATCCTTCCAATGTGCAAAATATACTCACTCTTCAGAGCTCCTAAAATCTCATACTTTTATGGCATCAGGTCAAAGTCCGGGACTTTGTCAGTTAAATAAGGTCCAGGAGCAACTGAAGCTCTTCAAGGGTAGTCTCTCAAGTGCAGCCCTTATTTGCAAAGACCTGTGAAACAGAAAACTTATCTGTCCCACCTGCATCCAGCAATACCATGGTGAAAAAGGGACAGGATAACCACAATAGACACCTCCATTCAAAAAGAGGGGAATAGATATGATCCAGCGATCCCACTCCTAGGCGTATATCCAGAGAAAACTCTAATTCGAAAAGATACATGCACCCCAATGTTCATAGCAGTGCTACTTACAATAGCCAAGACATGGAAGCAACCTAAGTGTCCATCAACAGATGAATGGGGACTTCCCTGGTGGCACAGTGGTTGAGAGTCCGCCTGCCGATGCAGGGGACACAGGTTCGTGCCCCGGTCCGGGAAGATCCCACATGCCGCGGAGCGGCTGGGCCCGTGAGCCATCGCCGCTGAGCCTGTGCGTCCGGAGCCTGTGCTCTGCAATGGGAGAGGCCATAACGGTGAGGGGAGAGGCCACAACAGTGAGAGGCCTGCATACCACAAAAAAAAACACAAAAAACAAAAAACAACAGATGAATGGATGAAGAAGATGTGGTATATATACATATATATATATATATATATATATATATAATGGAATATTACTCAGCCATAAAAAATGAAATACTGCCATTTTCAGCAACATGGATGGACCTAGAGATTATCATACTGAGTGAAGTAAGTCAGACAAAGACAAATACATCACTTACATATGGAATCGAAAAAAAAAAATACAAGTCAACTGATTTACAAAAGAGAAACAGATTTGCAGACATAGAAAATGAACTTACGGTTACCAAAAGGAAAAGGGAGTAGGGGAGGGATAAATTAGGAGTTTGGAATTAGCAGATACAAAATACTATACATAAAATAGATAATAAGGTCCAACTGTATAGCACAGGGAACTATATTCAACATCCTGTAATAAACCATAATGGAAAAGAATGTGAAAAAGAATATGTATGTACATGTGTGTACATATATATTATCTATCTATATAATTGAATCACTTTGCTGTATACCAGAAACTAACACAATGTTGTAAATCAAATATACTTCAATTTTTAAAAAAATTTTTTAAGGGGTGGGAGGGATAGGAGGTACATAGCAGTCACCAGACTATAGTAATTCTGAAATTAGGCCAAGCACATACTATCATTTCCTCCAACTCTGAGATCAGAGAATGTGCCTTAATTAAGGCCCAGTTCCACGTGCTGGGAGTATCAGATTCTCTAGGCCCTTGGCTCTGCCCTCTGAGTCATTCTTCATTTTCCATAAGAAATTGTCCAGGGACTTCCCTGGTGGCACAGTGGTTGAGAATCCACCTGCCAATGCAGGAGACACGGGTTAGATCCCTGATACAGGAAGATCCCACGTGCTGTGGAACAGCTAAGCCCGTCCACCACAACTACTGAGCCTGCACTCTAGAGCCCTCGAGCCACAACTACTGAGCCCATGCACCGCAACTACTGAAGCCCGCATGCTCTAGCACCCATGTGCCTCAACTACTGAGCCCACGTGCTGCAGCTGCTGAAGCCCGCGCACCTAGAACCCATGTTCTGCAACAAGAGAAATCACTGCAATGAGAAGCCCGTGCGCCACAACGAAGAGTAGCCCCCACTCGCCACAACTAGAGAAAGCCTGTACGTAGCAATGAAGACCCAGTGCAGCCAAAAAAAAAAAAAAAAAACAAGAAACGGTCCATGTTTGCAACTGAGTAGCAGTCTCTGCTTGCTTCTTGTCCAGAGGAAGTTGTGGGCTCAGAGGCCTCTTTTGTTTTTACACTATCTCTGTCCCTTCAGGCCATGCTTATATAATTCCTTTTTTAAAATCTTTAAGGGCTTCCAGTGTATCAAATTTTAATCCACTCTATTCGATAAAAGCCACACCCTCAAATCTCTGTGAGACAGGCTCCCTCTATCTTGGATTTAGAGTCAGGTGCTATGGGACAATGCCTTTAAGATTCTCAGGGGTCCTTTTGTCTAGCAAAGAAAATCCAAGAGGTGTGCACTTAAAATTGTTAGAAGCCCTGTCATCTAGCTGGCAGCACCTTGGATTTGATTCTTGCCAGCAAAGTCCTGGCTGGGACTCTATATTCCTGTTTCATCATATGCAGCTTAGAGAAACCAACTGGTACTTGCAATATTCTGCCTGCAAATCTCCTTAGCCATGTTGACAAGTTCATGAGGTATGTTTTCTATCTTGTATTGATGTATTACTATAGTCAACAGGGTTGCCAGAGTTTCCACCACTACTTAACAGGGGTTGCCTTTTCTCCAGTATACAATAACATTGTTATCACCCTCCTTCCAACTTCATTTACAGTTTCCTCAAAGCCCTTCTGGCCTCTGCCCTCCAGCTGGTCCCAAAGCCAATGCCACACGTTTTTAGCTTTTTATTACCATAGCACCTCACTTCCAGATTCCAATTTCTGTTGTAGTTTTCTATTGTTATATTAAAAAGAAAAAAACAGCCCCAAACTTAGTGACTTCAAATGACTGCAGTCATAGTGGTTGGATCTATAACATACACACGCTTCTTTACTCACATGTTTGGTCCCTCAGTGCTCTTCCTGTGGCCTCTGTCTCCACGTGATAGCTCATCCTCCAGGGTCACCATATGAGGCAGACATCTCGCCAGCGGGATAGTCAGGACTTCTTACATGATGGCTCAGGGTTCCAAGGTGCAGGAGGTGAAGTACCAGCTCTCTTAATCTGCGAGCTTGGAAGTCCCGGAAAGCCACTTCTGTTGTGTTCTGTTGGGCAGAGCAAGCCACGAGCCCAGTGCAGATGGAAGGGGAGTGGAAATAAACTCCATGTCATGAACTGAATGTTTGCATACCCCTAAAAATTCATATGTTGAAATCTAGTCCACAGTGTGATGGTATTAGGAGGTGGGGCCTCTGGGAGGTAAGTAGGTTTTGAGGATGGAGCCCTCCTGAATGAGTTTAGTGCTCTTCTGAGAAGAGGCCAGAGAGCTAGCTCTCTCTTCCTGCCATGTGGGGAGGATACCACATGAAGTCAGCCATCTACAGCCTGGAAGAGGGCTCTCACCAGGACCCAAACATGCTGCCACCCTGATCTCAGGACTTCCTGCCTCCAGAACTATGAGAGATAAGTTCGTTTGTGCAGTTTTGCTATGGCAGCCCGATCTGACTAAGGAATGACTAAGCTAAGAAGTGACTACGCTTCACTTCTAAAGAGGAGGAACAAAATGTGCATTCAGGGAGGGGAGGAACTGTTGGGGCTCAATTGTAGCCCCAATTTTATCACAACAGTTAAGTCTAGCGCTGCCTTGTTTAGAGTAAATTGCAGGAAGTCTGGGGTCTGACTCCTTATATGTTAGTGCATGTACGTGTGGAGGTAGATCTCTGACTAGAATAAGCGCTGCCACTCTCACCCTCAAACCCTGATTCAGGTCCTTGGGGAATGTTATCCCAGACATTAGAAGATTGCTGAGTTCCCCCTCCCTTTTTCTCTTTCCTTCCCTCCCGCTTTTTCTTTCTTTTTCCTCTTTCCTGTTTTTTTTTTCTTAAAGAGGCCATGATCTTGGTAAAGAAGTTAATCTTGCTTCTAAGTCAAATTAATATTTCCTTTGACTCAATCACCTTTTCTTCAACTATAAAATGCTATTTCAATCAATTAC